AAAAAGTGGGGGAGGGACAAGAAAATTGGACAGGAAATGAGAAGGACATAGCACGAAAGAAAAATTCCCATAGAGGGCAGAATTTTTCAAAGAGGAGAAAGCGAGTTTCTGTTATAATTAGAAAATGGCACATAATTAATTTGCGTGCAACCAGAAGCGCTGGCTGGAGCCTGACCGCCCTCAGCTTGCCCACCTGAAGCCAGATGATGAAGCTGGCAATGCCTGCCCCTCTTATCTGGGAATCTCCAAGCTTTAAGTCTCCTGTTGCTGCTAGGAGGAGGTGTCCCATTTACAGGTAGGAGAAGGTGAGGCTGTGAGTTGTCGTGCAATTTGATGGGGGCTGCCCTACAAAGTGAGTAATAATAATGATAATAGTTCACATTATTATGTGCCAGCACTCTGCTGATTACCTGCATTATCTCATTGCATTTTCCAACAGTAATACCTCATAAAGCTGCAAAGATGAAATAAAACAATGACTAGAAATTGTTGGGCCGGCACCTGGTGCTTGTTAAGCCCTCGAGTGAACAGTAGCTATCATAATAATTCTGTGAGATTAGTACTCTCGTCTTTCCCTCTTTTTACAGGTAAGAAAATTGAGGCACAGAGAGGTCAAGTTGCATTAAGTCACACAGCTAGTAACTAGCAGAGCTGAAACTGGAACCAGGTTTGCCAAACTCTGGGGCCCACCCCGTAGTCATGAGCTCACACTACCTCGTTCAAAGTGGCGTCACGATAGAGCCATGCGCTAGGCTCCCTCCTTTTTCCATCGAGGCCCCCAAAGAGCCCCCAGCATGTGCCCAGGCACATTTCACAACCTGTGCGTCCAGAAACCAGATGGGCCACTGGCAAGCACGAGAACCCCAGAGTGCTCCCGTCATGCCCAGGGGAACACTGTGCATGGGACTGACTGATAAATGATTCCTCGGTGAGTGGTTGTGGCAAGGCCTCCCTGTGGGTAATTAGTGAGTGTGATTGATCACTGCTGAGGAGGCTGGGTGGCTCATGACAGGGTTTGCAAGTTACTGGGTGTATCTGGGTGTCCACACCCAGCTCAGGTGGCCCCTGGAACTCTTCCTCCTTGGGCTGGAGGGAAGTGGGACCCAGCTCACTGGATCTATCCTGTGCCAGGCAGGGGCTTGAGGCTACCCCCGTGGTGGTGAGTTTTCTTCTCCCTTCTGCAAAATTGAGTAAGAGTCCTTCCTTTTACATCTCTGAACTATTGAAATGCCTTTGAGGTGGGGCAATGATTCAACTTAGCACTAGCTGGGAAGCTAAAAGACTCAACTCTCAACCCTGCTCTGTACTGAGTATCCTTTGGCAAAGTCACACTTTGTCTAAGAGACTAGAGTTTGAAAGTCCCTTTGCACCCTGAATTGAACCCCAAAGTCCTCAAGTAATGGCTCAGACACATTTACTTAGTATCATTGGGAGTTTCAAGTGGTTCTCAGCCCGAAGGCAGTGGGCACTCGGAGCCCAAAAGGACTTGGGAGGAAACCCACTTCATCATCCTGGGCTTCCTCCAGCATGGTGCCCAGAAAGCTCCAGGGTAGAGTCAGGAGGCTAAGAGTATGGCTGGGGGTGGAACAGCTGGTGCCACACCCCTCCCATGCTGTGGGCCCACAGTGAGCTGCTGGGGCAAGGCCCCACCCACATGAGAACCCCTGCTTGGGCAGTTTGCACATCCCCACGGGCTCGGGACAGGGGCTTCAGGAAGTGAAGCTTATCAGGTAGACGCCCGAACTCCTCTCTCTTGATCTTCTATCCAACCCTCTCCCAAGTGGAGGAGAAGGCTGGACCAGGGAGGCTCTGAGGAGGCAGCCTTGTGAAGGTTCTTGATGTTAGAAACCAGAGACCTCTGTTCTAAGCTTTATGCCGTGAGATACTAGCTGGGTGGCCTTAGGCACGCCAGTGGCCCTCTCTGTGGCTCAACTTTTCCTGCTATCACACGGGGGATAGTCATACGTTCCCTCCCTATTTTACAGGGGCGTTGCAGGATCAGAGGTGATGACAAATGTATGAGAAGCATGTTGAAAAATATAACACGCTATGCAAATGAGAGGGATTATCAAATCTGTGACTTGAGTTTCCTCCTCAGTGGGCTGGCCTTCCTTGAAACAAGGCAACTTATGCAAAAAACCTGGCACACAGTAGGTGGACAAGCTCTGGGAGCGGTCCCAGGCTTATGCCTTTGATCTTGTGTCTCTTCTCCTCTGCTCTGGAAGATCCAAAATCCTCCCCACCTATCTCACTGCTCCCTCTTCCCTCCAGTACTCCTCTTAACAACATCCGGTTACTCCCCAGACTTTAGGCAGGTCAGGCTCCTGCTTCCTTTCCTTCATCGCTGTCTTCGCCTAATGTTAGGTGTTTGTTTTTGTGGTTTTGTCTGTCTTCCTGCCACTGAAATGCAACCTGCATGATGGCAGGGATGACCTCGTCGTCTTGTTTGCCTAGGACAAGGCCTGGCACATAGTAGTTACTTGACAAATATTTGTTAAGATCAGGGATGGAGGGTTGGATGGATGCCACCCATGTTTATTGGGTTTTTCCTCTCTTCTGTGTCCCTTCTTGGAAACTAATTGTCGGTGGAAAAGTGACTAGTTGTGGAGTTAGATCCCAGGAGGGCTGGCTTTGTAACTCACTTGACCAGTCCCCTGGAACAGGTCACCTAACATCTGTGTTGTCTATTTCCTGGTCTGTAAAGTAAAGATAATAACACACCATGTATGTTGGGAGGCCCCATGAGATAATGAACGTGAAAGTCAAGGCGAGGGGTTATTACACTGTCTCTTTTGTTTTTGACACAGAACCTTGTTCACAGGAGGCTTAGGGAGGATGTTAATTTAAGAACCTCAGGCAGAGTCTCCCCTTTACTCTCATTTGGGGGGCCATGATGATGGTGATGATGATGGCTATTATTTACTGAGTGATTATTCTCTGGCAGGCTCTAGGCTAAGCACACTTCTTACGTTAATGCATTTAATTCTCCTAACAGCCCATGAGATTAGCCCCACTCCAAAGTAGCCATCCCTGGTGACTCCCTCACATGACTGTTTTAATTTTCTTCACAGCACTTATCACTGACTAAAATTAACTCATTTACTCCTTGTTTGTGGTCTGTCCTCCCCAATTAAGCTGTAAGTTCCATGGGAGCAGAGCCTTATCTGTCTTGTTCTTGGCTGATTCACCAAGGCCTAGAGAGTCCCTGACTGGGTGCACAGAAGACATTCAGGAGACCCATCTAACAGATGAGGAAATAGGCTCAGAGAGGCTAATGCCTTACCCAAGGACACACAGTTGACTTGGGTCTGTCAGGTTATGACTCTGGTGCTATTTCTTTCCATGGTGCTGCTCAGGGTTCTTCTATGCCCTGGTAGAGATCTGACATCAAGAAGGCTGCCCAAGGCCAAGTCCTCAGGCCATCCTGTCCTCCCCCATTCTCCTTCCTCCTTCTGGTAGCCGAGGAGCTCTGCCTTGGGCCAACAGAGAGTTGGTGGAAGCCCTTGAGAAGGTGACTGCACAGGGTGAGAGTCACCTTGTCTCCCCTCCTTATTCTGGCTCTGTCATCCTTAAGTAAGGCTCACTACTTGGAACTCTTCACGTCTCTCACCCACTGGGCCCTTGATCCTCAATTCCAGTGTTAAGTGAAGGATAGAAGTTCTTGGATTTCAGGATTTGGCACATAAGTCAATGCCAGTCTTATCCATAGTCAAGACTTTCTGGAAGCCAAGTGCTTAGTCTGGGAACATGAAATTGATTGGTAGCATGAGCAGGCATGGGGACGAAGACACTAGGGCTCCCAGCGCCTGGCCAGAAACTTCCAGTCATCTTGCTTTCTTACTCAGTTCCTCCTTCCTTGTGTGGGTGGAAAATCCTTTTCTGTATGTCAGTGGACCATTTGTTCAATGTATTGCAGAGGAGGGGAATTTCCAGAATAAGAAAGGTATCCCGAAAGGAGACGAGCATGGGGTACAGAACATCTTAGAGTCCAGAAGGTCCGAGTTCAGGTTGAGCTTCTACCACCTACCAGCTGAGGGACCTTGAGCAGGTAATATTACCTGTTTGAGTCTCCATTTCCCCAGTACCTGTCTCTCAGGGCTATTGCACAGAGTCGATGAGACAGTGCAGAAAACCAGCATGGTGTCTGCCTGTGGTAAATGCTTAAGGTGTGACAGCCACTGTGTAGCAAGGACTCAGAGGGTGGGGTCCCAGCAGGGTGGACTGGAGACCCTCGTAGGCCAGAAAGGCCTCCCAGAATAACGACAAACACTGACCTTTTCTTCCTTATGGGACTTTATCACTGTCTTCTAAACTTGGATTTTTAAATACGGTAAGATAACTGACAGCTCATCACAGCTGGTAATGGCCATTCCGCCAGAGTCAACGAACGGGCTCTAGGCCCAGGTCTGCCACTGGCTTGCAGGGTGACCGTGTCTTGTATCACTTTGCGACGCTCGATGTCTGGCTCCAAAGCTGGGTCCGGAGCACAAGAATGGCTCTCATGTATTAAGCACTTGTTATGTGCCAGTCTCAGTTCTAATCATTCTTTGTGTGGCAATGCACTCAATCCTCATACTCCTATGTGGTGGGTGCTTTTATGAGACCCCTCTTACAAATGAGGGACAGTGCAAAGCACTGGGGGTCCCAACTGATGTGGAGGGAGGGCACCCACCAGGCCTTTCCCTGCTTCTCCCTCCGTCCTTTTAGTGTGGGAGTTTCCTTTAGCCTGGGGCTGGGAGGGGCCGGGCCAGCGACCTGGGATTGCTCTGTAAATTCTTCTAACCCCCCGGCCCAGGAGGCAGCTAGGAGGGGCCTACTTCTCACTTCTCCGTCTTAATGCCCTTGATTTATTGTAACAGAAACTCGGGGTGTGCCTCCCTTTCCGCACCCCTAGCGCAGGAAGGTTTCTGTCATTTCTCTTTCCTGTGTGACAGCTGTCTCCCCCTCCCTCTCAGAGCCCTATGTCCCGCACCCTGGGGCCCAGTGTGATGGGAGACACTGTGCCCTGGATGAAGCCCCCTCCCCCTCCGCCCCGAGAGCTGCCGCCCACTGCCTGCCTGGGTGTGGTCTGGCTGCTGTTCCCACTCTGTGTCTGGGAATGCAGGCTTGAGCTGCAGGGTGGCTGGAGGGCACTTCCCGCAGCATGATTGTGAGGTCCTTGCCCACCCACTAGCCTCCCGCAGTGTCCCAGCCTAGCTGCTCCCATCTCTCAGCTGCCACTCTCCACACACTCATTGCTCTAAAATGAACAGACCGGAACTTTCCCACCTCTATGGCTTTGCTCACCGTTACGAGCACGTTTTACAACCATGATTCTCAAAAGGTGGTCCCTAGGGGCGCCTGGGTGGCGCAGTCGGTTAGGCGTCCGACTTCAGCCAGGTCACGATCTCGCGGTCCGTGAGTTCGAGCCCCGCGTCAGGCTCTGGGCTGATAGCTCAGAGCCTGGAGACTGTTTCCGATTCTGTGTCTCCCTCTCTCTCTGTCCCTCCCCCGTTCATGCTCTGTCTCTCTCTGTCCCAAAAATAAATAAACATTGAAAAAAAAAAATTAAAAAAAAAAAAAAAAAAGGTGGTCCCTAGACTACCGGCATCAGAATCACCAGGGAACTTGTTAGAAATGCAAACCCCCAGCTACCCCAGACTTACTGAATCAGAAACGCCAGGGGTGGAGCCCAGAATTCTGTGTTTTAAAAATAAGCCTTCCGGGTCATTCGGATGCAGCTAAAGTTTGAGAACAGCATCCTGTATTACAGCATCATCCTGCTTGAGCTTGATTGCCCTCAGGGCCCCTCACTAACAGGAGTTTGAGCAATTCCCTTAGCTTCTCTGAGCTTCAGTTTCCTCATCTCTAAAATAGGGACACTAATAGTGCCTGCCTTGCGGGGTTCTTATGAGAATTAAGTAAGAGAATCCATGGAGAGTGCTTAGCACAGCATCTGAAACATGGTCAATGCTCAATAAAGATTAGATAATAATTTTAATAATCTACATCATTATTCTGTGTCATGTCCCTATCCCTATGGCCTCCCGTGGCTCTTCTGTGTGATCTATTCCCCAGTGCTGAGTATTCCCCCTGCTAAAATGTCCTGCTTCCTCCAAAAAGCCTCTCATGATCTCTTTCCTTTGAGCCCCTGTGGCTCGTCTCTTGGGCCACATGCCCTGTACGTGTCTGAGTTCTCAGCCCTTCCGGGTTCCGTCTCCTCCGCGTGCCCTCCAGCTTTCGCCTCTGGTTCCTGGCTCTGACTGGCTGCTCGTGCCCTCTGCAATCCGTGTTGGTCTGAAAAGGCACTTCCCAAGACCAGGTTCTGCCCACAGGCTTCCTCGCCCTGGCTCTCTCTGTTCCTCGCCACGCTCCCTAACTTGCAATGATCGCCAGCCTTCCGTGGCCTTCACAGTCTGGAGAGGAACTTCTTTGGAAGAACTTGTGCTGGGCCATCTGGAAACTTTGTTCTTCACAGCTTGTCGTTGTTTCCTATCCTTCTAATGCTAAATCCCCCTTGAATAAGGATCTACCATGGAAACATTTTACTGAATCCTGTCTGAAGCTTTGCAAGGTTGGGATTATGGTCTTTGTGCTGCAGATGAGGGAACTGAGGCCCGAGGTCTACGGCTTTCATATGGCAACATTTGATATTGACTGAAAGCATCTAGCGCCCGAGGGCAGGTACGTTCTAGTCCCCCAAGCTGCCCGGTGGTGGCAGAAGAAACGGTCCCAGGTTTTTAAGACTCTGAAATCCCTGGGCACTGGCCTGAGGCTGATCATCCATGGACCTTCTTCTGGGACAGCCTAAATTTAACATTCCTTACTCACCTTCTAGTTTCAGGTCCGTACGACTGCTAAAGAATGACCCAGTCAACTTCCAGAAGTTCCCCTACACTAGTGAGGACGAGGCCTGGAAGACCTACCTGGAAAACCCCTTGACGGCCGCCACGAAGGCCATGATGAGGGTCAATGGCGACGACGACAGTGTGGCGGCCTTGAGCTTCCTCTATGACTACTACATGGTGCGTTCACCCCTCTGGGCATGTCCCCCCCCCCCCCCCCCCCCCCCCCCCCCCGACTGAATGTATGCCTTCGCTTTCAGGCCTCATGGCCCCGCAGGCCTCCCCCAGCCCCTCGCTGTATTTTTTCTCTCCTCTGGGTCTTTGCACATGCTGTTCCCTCTGCCTAGCCCCCTCCCCTTTCCCCCTGACCAAACCCCACTCTTAACTCTGGATCTCAGCTTCAAGGTCACCTCATTCATTCACTGAGAACGGGGAAGGTTTTCTTGGGTCTCGCATTCTGTGCCTCTTGGTTCCCTCATTATTACCATCATTACCCTTGACTCTGTCTTTAGAAACTTATTATTTATGCATTTATTTCTTCATCTCCCCCATGACTGAGCTCTCGAGGGCAGGAACCATGTGGTGATCATTACTCGGTCCTCAGCACCCCACACTACTGGCCACACACTCAGTGCTCCGTGTGTGCTGATGGAATGGATCAATGTGTACCAATGGCACACACACGCCCTTGGGTCATCCCAGTTGCCCTATCCCCCGCACCCACCTATCCCAACCTTACCACCTGGAACATGCCTTCTGCTCTTGAACCATTTTCTTTTCTTCCCAAGGCCACTTTCACTTGGCAGCTGTCCTGCCACATCACCTCTCCCTCTCCCGAGTGTCTGACTGTCCTTCCTGCCGTTGCTGCCGTTCTGTATGATTCAACACCTCCTGACGGACGGCCTTTATTGTTCTCTGATTGTTTCCGGGGACCTTGGCCTTGACACTCTGGTAGGCTCTCCGCTCCTGAGAATTAGGCCCTCCCATATCTGACATGCGGGCTTGAAGTAGTCAGCAGTAACAAATACATAACACAGTGACCTAGCTACCCCTTCCAGTGCCTGTGCCAGACATTGCTAATGGATTACAGCCTGCATTCTCACTGGGGGTACGTGGGGCTGAAGAATCTTTTTCAATGCAGTGCTCCAAGCAGCTCCTACCCATCTGTCTGAATTGTCACATGACAGCAAACTTTCTTACCTTCCCTAGGCTGGGTGACTGCTCTAAGAGACTCTCCCAGATTTGAGAATAGGAAACAGAAACAGCCAATTATTGAGATAACTGGCTTTGAACTTGAAGATTTAAAGCTACTTTGTAAAGTATTTAAAAAAAATTTTTTTTCAACGTTTATTTATTTTTGGGACAGAGAGAGACAGAGCATGAACGGGGGAGGGGCAGAGAGAGAGGGAGACACAGAATCGGAAGCAGGCTCCAGGCTCTGAGCCGTCAGCCCAGAGCCCGACGCGGGGCTCGAACTCATGGACCGCGAGATCGTGACCTGGCTGAAGTCGGACGCTTAACCGATCGCGCCACCCAGGCGCCCCATAAAGCTACTTTGTAAATAAGCCCTCAAATTTACTGACCAAAGAAATACTTTATCTACCTTACCCCAAGGGGGGGAAGGCAAACTCTCTGTGTAAATTCACGGGCCAAGGATGGAACGTGTGGCCCCAGATTCGAGAAGGCCCCCAATTTTCTCTCTGGCTTTCCTTCTCCCCTTGGAGTGGTATGGTTACCCTAGCTTACTTCCTCCCCAGCAGACCAATAGCATCCTGATAGCATTTGGCACAGGCCGACTGGAGACACAGTGGGAGCTAAGAATCCTAGGCCTGGATTGAAACCCAGCCTGGGATTTACAGCTCAAGGTTGGACCATAAAGTAAAATCCAGCACCATCTCCCCAGGCAAAGGACCGTTCCCCAGGGCCAGAACGGTGGGGAGCCGCAGGTGACCCCTATGGTGGTTTTAGTGAAATACTGTGTCCTGATGAGGCACACCTGCCCTTCCTCCCCATTTCAGGGCACTCTGGGTTCAGAACAGCTCTGTGGATAATGAGGACAGGGTCTCATGATGTGAAGAGAGCACTGAGTTGGGATTTGAGACCTGGTCTGGTCACAGACTGGCGATGTGGTTTTGGGCAATATAGTTCTAAAGGTGACAGCTTATCCTTTCTTACTGAATGCCAGGTACCTTCCTTCATCCTGTCCCATGGGGTGTGAGTAGGAGCCCAGGCTTTGGAGTCACTAGGCTGGGTTGGAGCCCTGGTTATGGCTTTATTAGCCAGAAGTCGAAATGACCTAGATGCTCTAAGATACAACGATATTATAATTATAATCATTAAAATAACATTTATATAGTGTCCTCCATATGCTAGGTGCTGTTCTAAACATACATGGGGTTGATGTTGCTATTATTATCCTTGTCTTACAGAGGAGGTACAGAGAGGTTAAGAGACTTGCCCAAGGTCACACAGCCACTGTATGGCCTATCTAGGAATTGAATCCAAGAAATTTGGATCCAGAGTCCATGCTCCTAACCACTAAGACAACAGAGCCTCTCTGGGCCTCAGTTTCTTCATTCATATAATGGAGATAACGTTAGTAGCTGTCACAGAGTGGTTGTAGGGACTAAATTAGAGATCACATAGAAGGCCCTTCATACAGGGCCCTGTGCACAAGAAGCACTCTACTGAAAAACCACAATGAAAGGGCTCCTGCTGGCTCAATCAGAGCATGTACCTCTTGATCTTGGGGTTGTGAGTTCGAGCCCCATGTTGGGTGTAGAGATTACTTAAAAGTAAAGTCTTAAGGGGCGCCTGGGTGGCTCAGTCAATTAAGTGTCTAACTCTTGATTTCGGCTCAGGTCATGATCTCACAGTTTGTGAGTTCGAATCCTACGTCGCGCTCTGCGCTGACAGCGTGGAGCCTGCTTGGGATTCTCTGCCTCCTCCTCTCTCTCTCTCTGCTCCTCCCCAACTTGCTCTCTCTCAAAAA